CTACTGACGAATGAGTTAAATGATGACCGCAGTAAAATTTAGACTCTGTTGCTAAGTAAACTACGAATCACTCTATCGAATGTTCTATTCGATGTTTAGAATGTTATTTCTTTTTTTTTTTTTTTTTTCGAAGATAAGACGTTATCTAGAGTTCTCTGTTCAAATAGCATTATATCTAAAGAAGCTAACAACAAACTAACAGCATTACCGGAAGTCACCAAACTGTAAGAGAGCTTCCTATGGGTCTCTAAATATTACTGAACGGCTATTTGTAACTTCATTATCGTTTGCAAAAAGAGAATACTGTGAAAAACTGATAAAAGTAGTCAAGCAAGCTATTAAAAAGGTAACTAGACAAAAATGTTACAGTCAGAAAAACACTAAAGTTAATTAGCGGAGGTCTGCAACCCACCATTAACAAAACTGCATCCAAAAGTGCCTTTTCCCCCCTTCCCTGCTCCCCTCTCGTGAAAAACTTTTAGTCCTTCTATTTTTGGTAGTTCATTGGTTGCCTGAAACTCTGATAACCAAAATTTTGTCAGAAACGGAATATCGACGCGAATTAATGGCAGAGGTGTTAACGCTTCAGTCGGCAGTCCCAAAAAAGTTAAGGAATAAAAAGCTAAGCCTAAGACGACCGTCCATTTGTGCTGACCAATCATAAGAGGGTGGATCAAAAAACGACCAACTCGTATAGAATGTTAGTAAACTTGTATGGGGCAACTGTCACCTAACCATCCGGCAACATTGCCCTACGTTAATCACTCTGTTTTATTGTTGTATCCTTTGCCTGCGGCAACACCTCCCTTTCCCAACTCCTCTTATACGCCCAAATGACTTCCAGCTTTCAGATAAGAAGCCTCCTTTTATTAACAAGCCACTCCTACCTTTACTGCAAATAAAGTAAGAAATTGTATATTAAAAGACCTCAAAGATACCTCATCGACATGTAAATTTTGGAAGATTTGGACCTTGAACTATTCATAAAGTTCTAGAAAAACTCCGATCACCAATTTAAAAATAGCTCTACGAATTTCGTCATTGTCTCCAGAGTAGATGTTAGTTTGAAAGTTAAAGTTAGCCTTTTTCTTTTGTCAATAGGGCTAATTCCAGCTAAATATCTATATTCTAGTGCTCAATATAGACTAAATTTATAATCATAGATAAGCCAGATTAACTGTCTTAATAGGTGTCCTATAAAAACCTTCGAATAATTACATACTAATATTTTACAGTAAAATAAAAATTTTTACAAAAGATCTGTTATTAAAATAATAGAGGATTCTTACGGTGGCTTCCCGTAGTCCTTAGAAACAGTTGAAGAGGGTTGCTGGAGTAAAATCAATGATACTATTAGTCTGCGTGCGTAATACTCGCTTGGTTTCCATCCAAGTACCAGTTCCAGTTCTTGGCTTCCACAAAGACAGAGTAGTCCAAGGTTTTTTACTGACATTTAGGCAAGAAAACAGCGCATAACCTTACCAAAGCTACCCATCCTGGATTAGTGCACAGTATCTCACGGAAAAATTAGG